CTCTGCTGTGGAGCAGAGAGCTCTGCCCAGCCCAGAGAGCATGCCAGGATGCTGGGGGAGTCTGGTTTAACTTAAACCAACAAGTGGTCTGAGACAGACACTGCATAAACTGGTTTGAGCCAAATCAGTTAAGTCTGATTACAGGTCTACATTCAACCAGGTTCATCTGAAACCAGTTTCAGCCATTCTTAAACTGGTTTGTTCTGTTACAGGTTTAAACTGGTTTCTGATTACTTAAACCAGTTTATGTGTAATGTCTTTCCCTAGCGCAACTGTCAACCTTTGTGTTTCATAGTTTCATAGTTTCTAGGGTCAGAAGGGACCTGAGCAGATCATCTAGTCCGACCCCCTGCCATGGCAGGAAAGAGCACTGGGGTCAAACGACCCCAGTAAGGTGGTCATCCAGCCTCCTCTTAAAAACCCCCAGGGTGGAAACCTGCACCACCTCACTTGGAAGCTGGTTCCAGACCCTAGCCACCCTGACTGTGAAGTAGTGCCTCCTGATGTCCAAATTTACCATCCCATAGTGCTCCTGTACAGCAGTTTCTTATGTGGACAAGTAAAGTAAAGAACCACTGAGTGTATTTTTGCCTGTATTATTTGGAAGCTTAATGGTAAGGAAGAGTTTATTTCATGTATCTACACAATTCTCCTTGGACCACATTTTGTGAAACTTTGCTCTTCCCTATGCTGATTAATACTAGTCTATAATAAATACTCCAGGGTTATGCATTTGTCTAAAATATGTGCTTAGCATAAGTCATAAATATGAATTCACTCCATTTTATATTTTTAATATAATAGAACTACTTTAGGTAGATAATTAGAGTGAAATGCATGGTTCAGCCTTGGCTGATTTTGAAAAAATGTTCTCAGTGAATGTCCCCTTAACCAGTGCAGTATCCTAAAACAAATGATGTTTTTTTGTTTTGTATGAATGCTGGATCTAGTGCCTAAATGCTTTTGAAGTGAAATGGTCTGTTTTTAAAAAAATACCATTTAATTGAAATGAAATGAATGGAGTAGGGCTTTTCTTCCAGCAGTTAAATCTCTCTGGTGTTAATTATATTGGAATTTTTGGTTCTGGGAAATAAAAATGGGGGAGGAAAAATATGCAATGAAGAGATCAGTTTTCAAAACAACTGACCTCATCACTGATCTCTCTTGCCCCCCATTGCACACTTCTTGCTCCTAATTTACCTATGTTAGATATGGTTTTGTAGTGCCCCTTGTAGAAAAAAGTGTTTGAATGAATATGCAGGGGACACATCATTGATGTTACTGGAAACATACAAAGCTTCTTAATTCTGTAGCTTTCCAGCTTCTCAGTCAGGATCTCCAAATGGCAGCCACTTCTAAGACTTCTTGATAGCCTTGCCTGATAATTCTGCAATGTACTTCTTCAGAGCCTTTAAGAGAGAGATTCCTGCTGCAAGTAGATTTTAGCACAAGTCACTCTGGCCAAGAAGAAGTCTCTCTCTCTCTCTCTCTCTCTCTGGTTCAACTAGTAGATCCGCAGCTGCTGAACTGTGACTGTTCTGGCTGGGGAATGTACAGGACACACACACAGCGAGGCCAGCCACCAGATGGGCATTGCAACTAATTGGCTGTCTGCTTTAGCATCTAGTCATCACTTTAAAAGCTGCTGCCTGAGGATTAAAACAGTTTCAGAGAAGATGCATCATGTCTGTCAGTGTCTGATTTAGGAAATGTCATTAGTTAGCTTTAAAAAAAAAAAAAAAAGGTGAGGGCCATTTTGAGCTGAAGCTAGGCCACCTTATTAAAATATATGCATAATGCCAGTGCTTTCCTGACCTCTGGCAGAGTATTTTCAGTATTAGATAGCAGTGTGGTGCTGGATCCCAAAGAGGAGTGTACTGTCCACTAATCATCCTGCCTGGGGAGGCCAGTTGGGAACCGACTGCTCAGTCACTCAGCAGTGGCTGGCAAAATACTCCCAGGTTAGCAAACATCCCATCTGTTCAAATGATTGGTTCCAAAGTCTGACCAACCCCATCAAACTTTGGCTTCAGCCTGAAATGCTGCAGAATCTCTACTAGTGTGCGTGCTGTACATGTGCCTTGCAGAATATTTGAATATCAGCTAGTCCTGAAAGGATAAGGAAAATAATGTCATTTGTCATTTTGCAAAGTGCTTCTACTGTCACCAGGCATGTTATCTCCAGCCTCTTCCCAACAGCAGAAATAATCCATCTTAGAGTTCTTGGTATTTACCCCGATTGCTGTACTGAGTGGCTCAAAGTGGTGTAAGTTCTTGTGTTGTTCATAGCTGTTGATACCAGTCATGTTGGCCCAGAAGGCTGGAATTGTGTGTAGTGATACAAGACATGAGGCTTAATTTCTATTACTTGTTACTAAAAAAGGGTAAAGTAAATGCATTTCCCATCGGTCCAAGAATCAGTGGAAAATATTAGTAAGTATTACTAGCGTTAGATATTAAATGCTAAATGGATTTTTTTATAAGGATAAATGTGGGATGTAATTGTATTGTGGATAGTAGAGAGACAGATCCAAGGAACTGGGTATTTATGGAGCATCTTATAAATATAGCACAGTTGTAAAGGCGGGACAAAGAAGCATGGCAAACTGTGTAAAAGAAAAGTCTGTTTTAGTCTGGTGGCCTTGGAGAAAATGTTCAGGTAGGCTAGAGACAGAAATTACACATAAACCAGCGTAAGCGATTAGAGCCAGCCATTCAGATCTCTAACACAATGCACATAAACCACTTTCAAAATTGCTGAAACTGGTTTAAGGTAAACCTGGAGGGATATAATATCAGACTTAACTGATTTTGGTTAGATCACTTTACTGATTTTTATGTCCCAAATCCCCTTCGGTTTCAAGTTAACTCACAGCCCCCCAGCATCCCAGGCTGCTCTGCACTTCCACGGCAAGCCCTGCCTGGCAGGGTGGGCAGGCTAGCCTTGGCCCCAGCTGTCTGCTCCAGCTGAGCAAGAAGGCATGCCCTAGCACCACCCAGCTTCTGGCCCAGGCCACTGCAGGTATGGAGCTGAATTTCTGGAATAGGAAATGAATGTCTGTTCACTTTTGCTTATCAGTTCAGTCTACACAGTTTAGACTGACCTGTGAAGATTGAATCAATTCAGCCTTTTTGATTGTCTGTACTTAGCTGTATAGTGTATCCCTCTGTTAAGAGCACCCTCACAGTGCTGAAGAACACTGTCTCTTTATGCTTACATATTGCAGCAGCCACTACAGCTTTCTCTCTCCACAGAAACTTTCAAATTACTCTTTACCTAGAGAATCAGACTCCACAGTCTATACTTAGAGTTTTTCTGGCCTCCAGTGAAGTTATTTATGTGGGAACTGACCCTCAGTCTTTCACTGATGTTCTTTTCTTCCCTGCCTACGACTCAGTATTATGTTAGATCCTTGGCTAACAAAGCGTTTAAAACCACTAGGTTATGGTGCAGTCATGAGTTGGCAAAGTGGGTTGAGGATGACACTTCACACCTGCTGTTCTTGGTAGTGGGACTGGCCTGTTAATTTTAAGGAAGGATCCCAGTCTGTTTACTGTATAGTCAAATTTGCCATTGTAACAGGTATGTGCAACAGCACTGTTCAGAAATTAACTTGTTTAACAGAGTAACATAAATGTATGTAGAAGAGAAGTTGGCTTATAATTATAGTTTCACATGGAGATGCATGAATGCATCATAAGAGGTGAATTTCAATAAAACCCAATCGGACAGGGAGCACTACTTGAGGCCTGTGTTTCTCTGGAAAAGTTATGGTTGGCAAATCAGTTGTAACTTTAGGCTACAGGGGTTATCTGTTCTTTCTCTGCTTCCTCTCTCAATCCACTGGCAGCACTTACTGTTAGAGGATTATTTTTTCAACTAGATGGAAAAGCCACACAAGCTCCAGTTTCTCAATAGGCCAATAGGGAATATTCAAGTCTTGTACGCTTGGTCTTTGGAGGTGAATTGAAGGGTATTGCTGTAGCAACAGAAGTCTGTATAAGGAGGGCAGAAACTGCTCCTGAACTGAAGTATCCTTCATTCATAGGGACAGGTGGGATATGTACAACCTTGGGGGAGGGGTAATTTTTTTCCCTAGTTAATCAATATTCTGTAATACTTCTAATGCTGTAGAGCATATTGATCTGCAAGTCACCTTGAGTAATTGCAAAGCTCTGAGCAATCAGAATGATATAGCTGGTTTTTGCTTCTATGTGGTATTTACAAAGAAAAAAAGGATGGGGAGAAACTTGTGTTCCACATTTGAGGATGATGTATGAAACTTGTGACATAATTAAGGAAACTTGTGACATATTCAAGGAAACTTTTGAAATAATTAAGGAGTAAATGCTCATGTTAGTTTACATTCTTCATTAACTTTTAACAAAAGCTAATGAAGAATGTATAGAGATGTACACTATTTTCCAGGGTCGTATTTTTGTTACATCCATAGTCTTGTTATCATAGAGAAGGCTAGAAGGGACCTCAAGAGATCATCTAGTCCAACCAGAGAATTGAACCTGGAACCTTCTCCAGATGGACTAGATGATTTCTGAGGTCTGTTCCAGCCTTACTTCTCTGTGATAACGCAAGACTATGGATGTACAAAATCATGAATTATAAAATAATGTGTATCTCTAAACTTTTAACAAAAGCTGATGAAGACTGTAAAGTAACATGAGCATTCACTCAATTATTTCAGTGGTTTCATAGTTTCATACGTTATTGGGTCCACCAAGATATATTTTTCTAAGTTTCATACCAAAAATAAAGAGCATGTACATTAGCGCGGATACTGAAATGTTGTCGTTGTTAGTTAATATAATTAATGTGCAAAGCAACTTAATAGATGAACTGCTAAAAGCAAGAGTTTGCATATCAATTGTCAATAAGGTCTCACTGTCTTAAATTGCAGGTGCTAATGGAGCAAGCAGCTTTCATTAAGGTCTATCGGTAGCATAATGAGATGTCCTTCTGACTCCTTTCTTTTTGTTCACAGGACTGAAAAAGCGTACAAGGAAGGCCTTTGGTATACGGAAGAAAGAAAAGGACACTGATTCCACGTAAGTTATCAAGCACTTTAATGCATTCATGAATGGTGGAAAGGTTGAGACCAGTATGTTGTGGAACTGCTACACGTGACATATATACAGTATGTAAGCATTACTATTTGAAATCCGCAATGCAACAGTCACTGTCTTTTTAAACGTTTTCCTAGTGAATCTAGTAGCCAAACCAATAAGACACTTGCTTCCTGTCTCATGTTATTAGGACAAGTTTCTTTCCTACATGTTTCCAAGGTACGGTGTTGGTGATGATTAGGTAAAAATTATTGACGTGCGAGTTTGCTAATAATCTCTACCTAAACTAATGACCTGCATGTGCTTGGTTGATAGTCATGTTTTCAATGCAAATTCAATTTAAACAAGCAGCCTTGACAACCAATCTGTCCTTGGTGTGAAAAAGGCACTTAATAGGTTTTATGTCCATGTGTAAGCCTTCAGCAATAGTGATACCTCAGAGTGTGTCGTGATGAAGTTTTATTGCTCACTGTCAGAGGAAGAGGGCATTTGGGGATCACCAAATGGACTGTTCTGTTCTTGCTGGTTAGACTTTTTTTTTTCCAAGTAGTGCCTCTACTTCATGGAAAATAATTCAATTTCTCCAGTCATTCATGGGCCCAAAGGTCTGCCTGAGTCTAGGTGGCCCATCACGCTAATGTGGTAAAGGCACCCCAGTTTCCATAATGAAAGAGTGATTTGGCCAGCACTGCATCCTGCCACCTTTGACTTCTAGCCAGATGACCAGGGGACCCATTTACTGGCAGCCTTTGGTACGAGAGCTGAGGAAGGTTTGAAGTAAAGCTCTGTCACCATAGCAAGATGCTTTACCTGCTTCGGCACCATGCCCTAGGATCACTCGCAGCATGAGGTACATACGTATAGCATGTCTATAGTACAGCAGGAGCACATGCTGGCCAGAATATTTCCAAGCACACCCTACTTGCTTGCTCACTCCTGCTTGCACTTTGGTTTCCAGCATGCTTGAGAACAACAACTACGGGGGATGTCTCTGAAGTCCCCTCCCTGGTGTATTTCTATGTTTGGAGTGTCCAAGTGGAGCAGGTGACTGAGTTTGTGCTTGGGAATGTGCAGGGCCCACTGCAGCTGCAGAACAGACTTTACCCTTTTCAAGTTTATAAAAGTAATCCTGCTTCAGCCTGATGGAGTCTGAGATGAGGAATAAACCATTATACTTAAACGTTCATTTGGAAGAGTTTTTTAACTGGAAGCATGCCTTAGCCAGCTAGTGTCATAAATGTCAGAGACAGCAAGAGGTATAGAGATCACTTGTTGAACAGCCATGTGTGCACCTACCTCTGAACTAGAGACCGAGGAAGGTACATCTATGCAAGGTGGAACTGGGACTGTTTGTAAGGGCTTAACTTCTAGCTCAGTAGCAACCCTATCTTTTTGCTCAGATAAAAGATACTGTGGTCTTGTGGTAGGTAGATTGCCTAATGCCAACTGATCATTACCAGTTGCTCAGTGGACATATCTGGAGGCTTCCTGAGACAACTGCTGTTTGCTTAACCAGCTTAACTCTGACTGAAAGAAGACAGCTTAAAATTACGTGCAAGGCATCCGTAAAAATAAGTACATGCAGCCACATTCAAGCTGCAGTCTGTGGAGTACCATTTGTGACCTGTAAAGGGAGTTTCTGTAAAGGGAGGCTGGTAACTTTTCACAATCTAGAATTAAATTAAAGAAAGAAAAAGCAGGACTTTTCTAATAAATCAAATAGTAAATGCATTTGATTCTGTTATTCTTTGATTATGCTTACAAAGAAAACTAGTAAGCTAGAGCAAAGTGAGTTAATTAAAGAACTGCTGAGCTTAGTAACAAGAAAATAAAGAGCAATGACATCCATGCTGCAAACAAGCTAATAAAATTGTGTTATGAGCCTGCATCTTCATGCACGTCTTCCCTGTCTTCATTTGTGCTGTTCATATTGAAGTCTGTCAGGGTCTGTGAGATTTCAAAGCAGTTTAAAGAGTTGATTAGGCCCTTCAGAGCCATGTCTGTAAAGACTGTCTCCACTTGATTAGTTAACACTTGTAAGGAATATTTGATCTCACTATTGACTGACTCACTGTTGTAGTTCTTCACTCAAGTGCTCAGATAGTATAGTGATGGGCACTAATGCAACAGTATTTAGGGTCTTCTAACATTTCACTCCCCAGTGAAGTGTACATAATTCAATAAGCATAGTAGCCCTCCTATGTGGCTCTAGTAAATGTAGACAGCTGTTTGTACTGCCCTAAAATTGCTGTCAAGAGTCATGATAAGAGTTGTGTATCAATTGTACTTCTGTGATACCAACTGCCCATGCATGTCTCTCCCATTAGAACCACATGAGGTGGAAAAACAAGTCTCTCTTCAATTCCCACAAAAAGGTTTCTGTGCAATGTGGGGCTGAAAGCACTTGTTTGACTTGCAGTGATGAGCATGTTTTTATTTTTCCCAACTGCATTACTGAGCCAATAGGAAATTCAGGCACAGGAACTGACTGGCCTGATGAAAAGAAGGGAAGTTGAGAGTGAGGGTCTCGTTTCCTGTTGAGGGGAGGAACTTGTATAAGCACAACACAACAGTGTCTAGATTTGAAAGTTCAGAAAGGAAGGGGGCAAGAGGTGGTGAATGCCAAACCTGTGGTCCTACCCCTGGGTGGCCAGACAGTGATGTATGTGTTCCTGCTGCTGCTGGTACACAATTAGCAGAGCTACCAAGTATTGGAAATATTAGCTAAATTTACTACTTTATGTTAGCCACTGTTTCTATCCTACTGGCTCCTATACTGGCATCTAAAAATCACATATATACATCTACTCAGAAATACGTCACTGTCACAGCTTGCTAATTACATTGCCGCCGCCCCCCCGTCTTTCCTGTTAACTTATTATTGCTACAAGCATTCTCTTCAAAATACCTTAACTAGACCAGCATTTCCACAATTGCTGTAAAGAACATGCCATTTGAAGGTAATTGTTAAAATTATGTTGTGCAACTGTTAGATGCAGGGTAGTAATTAGAAGTTGTTTCACTGTTCCTCCCCCCCCCCGCAAGAAAATAAATAAATAAGAAAGGCAGTCTGTTTCTTTTCTCACTTTATGATAAATTGTGCATGTTTCTAACTGTCTGACAGTCTGGGTGCCTGACGGAGTGAACATCTCCTGTTCTCTTACTAAATCGCTCAGCAGGAGGGCAGGCGCCATCTTTAGCCATTCTATCAATCTTTTCTTGTTCTTCACTATTGTTTTTGGATGTTGCTCTCCAATCCATTTCTTTTATTTACCACCTTTTTCTTTTAATTTCTGTTCTTAATGATCCCAACTACATCTTCATCCTTCATTCTGCACCAGCCCATTTCTACTTCTTTCTGTTTTGCCATCACTATAGTCTTAGCTGTGCCTGATTCTTTCCTCTTGTCACTCAGTTCATCACCCTCCTCCTTTCATCTTCATCCTATCTCCTTCTTGTTTTGTCTTCACTGCCTGAGAGCTGTTGAAATCAGACAGCTCAGGTGCCTGCATGCTGTTCCCCACTCAGTGTTGAGGAGTTCAAGTATTTGCTTGAGCCAGCTGTACCAGGTTGCTAAGCAATGAGCTCAGAAGTGAGGCCTGAAGTAGAGCTGTGTTCATACTTACGGTGATGCAGTAGGTCCATTTTCCTTTTTAAACGTTCTTTCTTTTTTGAAGTTAAATCCCAATTTCAGGCCTTTCCACTTTGCTTGCAGCCTAGCTTTCATGGGAACAACAGTTTGCACAGTCATGACAGTGCATGGCGCTGACATAGATGTATAGGCACTTTGTCTCCTCTTGTTCGTGTTGGAGCAGGCTGTTGCCAAGGGCACCCAAATATTACTGTGATCAAAATATTTATCATTTTTCACTCTGCATGGAGCAGCAAAAAATCTCTATCACCAGCCCCGTGTGGGTGAACCCCTTGGTGACAGGGGCTGCAGTGGTGAGAGCTGGTAATAGCAGCAGCAGTATAAGTGCAATGCAGGGAAGCTAATTCATCCATCTAGGGCCAGGTTTGCCATCTTTTCTACATGCATTGCATATATCTTACATATACTTTGACGTATTTCCAATATGTTACACACCCAGGTCCTACAAAGTGTTATTCTGATCTAATATACACTTTGATACTATTCCAAAGAGCAGCATATCAAAATGAGGTGGCAACAGAATCATTTTTTAAAACAACCTTTGATATCAAATAATTTTGCATTACCTAGCTACATTACCTTGTGTTACTTTGCGTAGTTAATAATCACCTGAACTAGTGATCAGTGGTACAGAATCCGGCCAGGCTCAGAAGCCATGTGGCCAGCCAGCTTGAGCCCAAAAACCTCAACACGGAGACCACTAAGTGAATTGCAGTAAACACACTGCAGTTCAAAAGGAATCAACTCCATGCAATGGTATGCGGTCAAATGAGTTGCATTAGTGTGGTTGCATGTGGTTGCATTATACCTGAATGCAGGAAAGAAAAAACTTAATGCAAAAGGTTAACAGCAAAATCCTTGCTAGCATTTTCTTTGAAGAACTACAGTTATTAAGCTGGAAAGCTACTTGTAGCTTGGGAGCTGTGGCATGAATATCACTGGCTTAAGTACTTGAAGTCTTTTACACCTTAAGAGAAGAGCAAAAGGAAAAGAAGACTTGAAACTTTATGAAAGAAGGTTGGTACCCTGTGCACTTGGGCACATATATTTGACTGTTCATTGAGATGCATAGTCAATATACAGACAGGCTGAGGTAGAAAACTCCGTGTTGTTTTAATGGATTGTTACATCTGAGAGAGTCTGTATTTTTTCCAGAATTGCATCCTTCCCTGCCTACATTAGAAAAGGGGTATTCAACATCAACATAGCATATAGCTTTCTTTGTCCCACATACCTCATCCTAAACTATTGTTGTAAATTCCCCCTTCACTCCACAGGGTTACTGTACTCTTGTGTTTAACAGTCATTGGATAAAATTGATAGGAAGCAGCAGGATAGCTCTGCTCCATTGGGAGCAGAAGTGGGAGCAGGAATAGAGGCCAGAGCCCAGGGTCCCCTTCATTTCAAGGCTGTGCCAACTTACTGCGGCACTCACTTGGGTTTGCTTTGCTCCTGGACACATGTACCTTTCTTGGCTGCCCAGTGGGCCAGCTTCAACAGGAAGGTTGGAGGATATGCTTGACAATGCCTACCCATGGCCTGGTGATTAGGGTACTTTTGTCAGAAGTGGAAGATGTAGGTTCAGACCCTTCTGGGTGATGGGGACCTAGAAACTTGGTCTCCCACTCCCTGGACAGGTGCCTTAAGTGCTAGGCAATTGTGCTAAAAAGGCAAGAAGGCCTCCTCTTCATTCTCCAGTATCTAACAATCACTAGATGTGGTTTTCTTGGACTAACAATTTGGACACTTTTATACCTAAGAGTTTATACAACTGCCTGGGTGGAATAGGGTCATTAATGAGCACAAATAGCCAAGAAGTTTGTTTTGAGCATGCTCAAAAGGGCAAGGTGAGTTGAGCAGAGGGGAATATATTCAAGTTAGCTCTCCTCCAGATTCAAGTCAGCTCTCAGTCCTCCAGCATCCCAGGATGCTTTGCATTTCCTCTGCAAACCCCTCCTTGAAGGTTGGGTGGGCTAGCCTTGCCCAAGGTCTGTGCTCCAGCCCAGCAAGGAGACATGCTTTAATACCTCCTGGCTTCTGGCCTGGACCACTACAGGCATGTGGCTGCATTTCCAGAATGAGAAATGAGTGTCTTTTCACTTGCTTATTGGTTCTATCTATACAGCTTAGACCAACCTGTGAAGACTGAATTGATTCAGCCTCAGGCTTTTTGTCTGTCTGTACGTAACCCAGAAGTTCAGAGCACATAAAGTGTTTTCAAAATGGCCAAAACTGGTTTAAGATAAGCCTGGCTGGGTGTAGTATCAAACTGAACTGATTTAGCTTACATTGGTTTATTGAACTTCTGTCCCAGATCCCCTCCACATTTAAGTTTAACTCCCAGTCCCCAGCATGCTTTGTACCTCCCCTGCACAAGCCCTCCCCGCTTGCAGGGTAGGTGTCTAGCCTTAGCCCAAGCTGTCTGCTCTAGCCAAGGAGCAAGGCATGCACTAGTGCCCCCAGCTTCTGGCCTGAATCACTGCAGGCACGTGGCTGCATTTCCAGAATCAAAAGTGAATGTCTGTTCACTTGTTCATTGGTTCAATTTATGCAGTTTAGACTAACCTGCAAAGATTGAATCAATTCAGCCTCTGGATTTTTAACTGTCTGTACTTAGCCCTAAAGTTAGCTGCCTACCTGGCACTTCTCTGACTAAAGGCAATTTAGACGTAGACTATAGTGTCTGAGGCATAGATAAAAATGACATTACTTAAAACAGTCATGCAGTTCTCATGAGTAGCAGTTTACATGAGAGTTACACTTGCTGACAACATTTATGATAAAAATTTCTGTTTCTATGAATTGACTAAGTAAATTCTTTCCTGTGGTTAAAGAGCAAAGAGAAAATTAGGCTGTTTTTGACTAATTATATGTATTTCCTTTGTTTTACAGAGGATCGCCAGACAGGGATGGAGTTGTAAGTATCAAATTCTGTTTATGAAAATTCCTTCTGGCATTCTGTGTGCACCTAGCAAAATGCTCTTTTCCTCTGCAAACCAGCATAAGCAATTCTTACACTTTCTAGTTCTATTTAATGTAGTAAATACTTTTTAAATAATCTATTTTCATTAGAAAGCATTTTGTTCAAAATCGATGAAGAGTTCAATATTTTGCCTGGCTAGATTATTTCTGTTAAAACTAAACACAGTCAACCTAGTGACAGCACATAAATCATCTTTGCTGAACATAAACCTACTTAAAATTCTCCAAAAACAGTTCAAACTTCATGTTGAAAAGAATTGAGAATGGGAAAGCTGCTCTTTTATGGTTAATGTTTATTTTTATGTGAAAAAGAGTTGTTCTATGGCAAATTACATACAAAAATTATTAATTTTAAAAATATATTCAGGTTTATTGATGAATTGAAGAACATTTTTCTATGCATATTATTTGCTTATTTTCTACATTAAATAGAAAATACAAGAGTGGCTACTTTTTAAATTTCTGCTGCTTTAATATATAGTATTAGGAGTGAATGTCCCTGCTAGAACTGGAACTTAGGTGGGCCATGAGTCATTTAGCTGTTAATTTCAAGTTTGCAAAGAAGTATGTTGGGTTCAGACACAGCTTTTACTGTAAGTTGTTTTCAAGAGTTGCTGCACTCCGACTCAATAAGCTTATGCTTAAAATAAAAATTGGAAACGCATTCAAATAGCTCAAAAGGAAAACTGGTGCAGCTGTGAAACTGCTTGCAGTTGTTCTGTATCAGGCTCAGAATCAGAGCTCTGGAGTGGAAAACAACCAACCATTAGAAATCTCAGGACATACATCTTTTATGAAATTATAAAAAACTTGGACTGTCTGATCACAGCTTTGGCAGGCATTGTTTTTTTCACATCTGACCCAAGATCCTTAGCTTTGGGACAACCCTGCATTCATAAAGCCCTCTGTTTTTTGCTGTTAAGAAATAGCAATAACGAAGTTTAGAGAATCACACTTTGGGTAACACTTTAATCAAGGCTCTATTCAGCAGGAAGGGAGGGAAATGTAGCTTTCCAGATGCATGAAATGTACAGATCTTTCCTTAGTCTTTAACCCTCTCTTATTCTCTCATTCCTTTTTTCTCTCAACTCCTTTGGACTCTTCTTCCTGTCCTCTGCTCTCTCTGTCCTGTGGTTCTCAGACTCATTCTTCTGTTTTCTGTGCCAGCTGAAATAGAAGTTTTGCTTTATCTCTTCCCTGCATTCAATACTCCCTCTTTCATCTTTTTTTTTTCTCCCTCTCCTCTCTCTAAGGCTAGGTACAAAAGTTCAAAAAGCCTGAGATAGATTTGCAGAATCTTTCACAGCTTTTTCTAAGCGCCTTAGATTAGTTTGGGAGCAAACAAAACTTGCATTTGCCTTTTGCAGGGGTGGAGGAGGGCACAGAGGTGGGTGCTCTCCCACACCTCCCAGCAGGCTGCTGGACAATTCTGAGCCCAGCTAAGCAGCTGGCAACCCTTGATTGGCCAGTTCAGCCCAGCCCAGCCCCCACATCCATTGTCAGTGGTGGCTGGTGGGGGTGGGAGGGAATGGAGCCCCTTGCTGCATGGGACCCCCAGCTATGCTAGCTCAGGTCTGGAGAGGACCAGGGCTGCATGTCTGTCTGCTGTGCTAGAAATCAGGGGTGGGGAGCAGAGCCTTTTGCCATGCAGATCACCCCTGCCCCCCCACCCAAACTTGCTGGCTTAGGTTTGGAAGGTGAAAGGCCAGATCCATGTCGTGGGGGGCTCCACTCCCTTGCTCCCCACCCCTGGTTCCCAGCACAGTGGACAGATACACAGCTGTGAGCTGCGCCTCCTGCCTGCACCTGTCAGAAGGGTCAGGCGGGGGAATTGAGACCCTGCCATGAGGGTCACCTCCT